CTTCTTTTTTTATCATGACTATTTGGGGTTCTATAAACTTTATTTATCTGCATGTTAAAATCTTTCCTCATATTTAAAAAGTTTTCTGCTATTATTTCTGTAAACAAATATTTTATGACATTTATTGTCTTTTGATTTTTCACCAATCTCAAATAATCTTAGATTAGTCTTTGCATCATCAAAAACTTTTGGATTCATTTTTTGTTTTCCTCTTATTGTTTTAAAGTATTTCTGAGAAATTATACTCAGAGATACCTTAAAAACCAACACCAGCCCTATCTTCTAGTTCTGATACCCTATCCTCCTATTGGACCCTTCTGCTGTTCCATACTTTCAATAGAATTTTTAATCTCCTGGATACCTGCTTGGTACCTTTGTATGGCCTCTAATTCTTTGCTAAACTTTTCATTCTTGTATTATTTTGTTTAGGTCAGCTAGCTTTTTATTAGTGTCTTCTGTACTCCCTTATTGTTTTACTTATTAAGTCCACTATCTGTTTAGTTATATATTCTTTGAGCTTGCTGAGCACCTAATTGATATGTTTTTTATTTTTTCCTTTATCATTTCAAATAATACATTTGTGTGGCTTTACATTTCCTCCTCCTTGATGCCTCGCTGATCAGTTTTGGAGAGTTGGTAGTTTTGGGAGATATTTTTTTGCCTTGTCTTCTCAAGTTTCTAGTGCGTGTGTGTGTGTGTGTGTGTGTGTGTGTGTGTGTGTGTTTGTAGGTTGATTATTGTTTAAAGATATTGTTGCTATTATGGAGACCTCTTTAGTATTTGTTTTTTGTTAATTCACTCTAGGGATGGCTAACTACAGACCTTTGCCTCCCTTAAGATACCACAATCTCCATTAATTTGGGAGGGGAAGATGCAGTGCTTTTAGCCCAGAACCCAGTTCTCTGGGATTGGGTCACAGTACTGTTAATGAAAACAAGGCAATTCAGATATTGTTATACAGAGAAAATCAGTTAATAGCAACATCTATGTCTCCCTGGCAATATCAAGTAAATCATAGCAGTAATAGCAAAAACAAAGTGGATATTGACATACCATATGAAAAAATAAGGTACCATCAATAGCCATTAAAAAGAGATCTATAATTATGGTATAAACACTAAGGCAAAAAAATATTGACATATAGTAAATCCAACTATACCTCCACTAACAATAGAAAAGAGTTCAACAGTTATGTTATAGTGTCAACTAACAATCTAAAGATTTCTAAAACTTAATTATTATACTATTAAAGATAGAGGGGATGAGGAATGAGAGAATGAAAGAAGAAATATTTTAAAAACTAAGCAATTATTACCTCACCATTCTCCCCTTCTTTTACAAGGAGTAAAAGGAAATTAATAGAATTAGATAAAGGTAAGTAAAAAGAATAAAGAAGAAAAAAGAGGGAAAAAAAGAGCAAAAGACTCTACTAAAGGAAAGAAAAAAAAAGCAAAAAGAGAAAAACTTTTGAATCCTCCACAAAAACAATGAAGAGAAAAAAAAAAGAAATACACCTATAAAAATATTTCCCTGTATTGTTGAATGAGTTGTTTCTTTCCAGCTGGGTGTTTGGAATCCAACAATTTATATGTTTTTTCCACCTAGATTTCTGGGGTATTTGTGAGATGCCCCTCCTCTTTCATGGTCCTCTATTTGTACACTTCTGATTGTGGCAACTGTCCAAGCTGAGGCAGGTCCTTGGCTCGAATTGGTAGATGGGGAAAGCAGTCAAGAGTGCTGATCTCCCTGCCAGATGTAGTCAGATGGGTGGAGGTTCAAGCAGACTACTGGACTTTCAAACCCTGAAAGCCACGTATTTGTCATTAATTGCTTTAAGCTTCCTTCAGTACAGCTTTTGATATTGGTTGGCGGCAAGGAAATTCATATTGCTTGAGTTGGCATAAGTATAGGAATATAGAAAGAGCAAGAATTTTTTTCTACTGTCTATTCCAAGTGACAGTTTGACTAGGTCTGCTTATTAAGAATTTATAATATGCTTTATGTTAAAAGAGATCACTGACTTATACGTGAAGTACAAATATTTTCTCACTTTCTTCTGCATTTAGTTTTGATTAACTTAGTTTAAAATTCAGTAGTTTACGCTACAATTATACAAATTTTATGTAATTTAAAAATTATTTTATGGTACAATTTTAACATATTTTGAACAATTAATTTGTTTTGAACTATGCATATCCAAGTTTTGTAGGTGTGAACAATTTTTTTTGTTCAAAAATGTATGTATTCATAGTATATAAATCTATTTGTTTTAGTTTTGATAATTATAAAATAAAATTTATATCTTTTTTGGGCTTTATTATTCCAGATATTGTTCCTTTGTTGTGCATCATTTACTGGCCCATTAATGAGTGTACATTCAGCAGCACAGACTTCCACCTCAATTTCTTCTTATTATCTCATTGGCTTCTGCACCTAATGTTATTGCTTCTTCCACTTCACAGCCTGTAGGTTAACTTTTCTATTTTATGTTTTCACAGAAAGGAAGAATAACAACCAACCTAGCACTTCACTGGGAGTTATCAAAAGACTTTTGTCTATGATCTTTGTTATGACAATTAGTTTTTCTTTGTGGGTCAGTTTTATAATTTTTTTGTTTTTTCTTTTTTGTTTGTTTGTGTGTTTGTTTTTTGTTTTCTTGAGACAGAGCCTTTTTATGCAGCTCAGGCTGGCCTTGAACTCACTATGTAGTCCAGGCTGGACTCAAACTCATAGCATTCCTCCTGCCTCTGCTTCCAGAGTGCTGGTATTACATGCATGTGGCACCATGCCTGGCTAATTTTATAATTTCTATACAATGATAGATTATCACTTAAAATGGAATTTTAAAATGCAATTGCAGTTTGAAATGTAATGTGATTTTTTTCATTAAAAAAGAAGACTGAAAGACATGTATACTTATTAATTTTCCTTATCTCGTTACACTCCAAGAAAAGAGTTAAGTAGCAGAGTTAATAATCTGACTCATCTACTCCACTATGTGTACAATGGCCCGTGAATATATAGCTGTGAATGGCAGTGATGAAATCTTTTCATGGGTTCTTCATCCTGATGTCTTCTCTTTAAGACAGTCTACCTACAGCAAGCATTGTATTATTGACCTTTTGGAAGCATACATAAATGCTCAATCCTTGATATAGTTTCTTTTTTTGAGGCTTTCAGTCAGCAGCTTGATGGAGAATTGTTTGCAGTGGATTCTTTCCATGCTGGAAGAACACCAATATCGCCTTACCGGGATAAATGGGTATTCTAGGTATTGAGTCTCCTGCTGTCAATTATCTGGCCATGAAATTATTTAAAGTATTCAAAGATGCATTAAATATCTAATGTCCTTCATAATATACTTTAGGATAGAAGAATATGCTTTATAATAAAGAAAATACAACAAAATAAGTCATCAACTGGTAATGTAGTTACTGTATCAAACAGAACATGTCAGAACGTGAAAAGAGCCCTTTAAAGAGTTAAGGAAATGTGATTAATTGCCATTTGGGGGATGGTGTTCTGCAGAGTTAGAGCTATGTGATTTAACATGTAATACATATTGTGAAGCAATGGACATTATAACATGTTGGATCTCCAAATGCACAGGTCTGGAAAACAATGGTAAATAGTGAGAGTAACTTCCCTTACTATCACTCCCTTGGAAAATTTAAACATCGTGGACTTAAAGAATTAAGTTTTCTTGAGTGGATAAATTTTAAGTTTTGATCAAAGGAGCATTTCAATAAACCTAAAGTTTTAATAGATCCCTGTTCATTTTGCTTTCTTTGTGCTTGTAGGTCATCAAAGGAAAAATTATTATAATAGTAGGTATAAATGACCATCTTTAGTATAAAGAAATAAAATTTATGCTACAATTACATCAACCATGGGTGATAATAACTGTAAATGGGGGAATTAGAGCAATTACAGTCTGACAAGATCATGGTAATCGAAGACTCACACAACTTAGGAACATGTAAACTGGGCAAGTGACCTAGACAAGTGTAAAAACTATATAATCATAAAGGGAAACTGAAATAGGTTTTAAAGGAGGAATATAATGCATGTCATTCTGGGATAAATTAACACTTGTTCCATTAACATTTCTCTATTTAAAGAAACAATGATGAAGTGAATTTATATGGACTGTGAATTATGATAATCATGGAAGATACTGACAGTATTTGATGTTATTGACAACTCACATATACCTTTCTACACCTAATATTCCCAGTAATTCACATTATTTTATGCTGTCAGCTTCTGAGATTCTTTACCTGGTGATTTTTCTTTGTATATCAAAAGTGCTTAAACTACCTTGGGAGAAGAACAAGAAATGTTAGAGTTAATGCCCTAGAGCAGCTCTAGACCAGTAAAGAAATTCATAGCTTCCTCGTCCATCGAATGGGAAAACCAGAAGTTATAGAATTTGTACCTTTTCTTACAAGGCTTCAGAGCAATTGTGATCAAGTTGTTCAAGATCCTCTATTGTCATTCTGTCCTTCCTTGGCTCACTTCCACACTTCTAAACCAGTGTCTTCTACAGTTACCTTTCAAAATAACTACTTGTACTGAGATTTTTGACTCTGGACTTTTTAAAAAATAAATTAAAAACTGGTTTAACATATATTACAGTTTAATAAGATGATCCTTGACATTCACAACAAAATTACTGTTTATTTTAATAATATAAATATTTTCTTATAAATATCAAGAATAATGTTTTTGTATTCATTAATTTGCAAAATAAACTTTGAAGATTAAAGTGTTCTTTGGTGGGCCATGCTGTTCTCAGTAAAATATCAATTCTTAACTTGGTGTATTTACATTTCCCATGGTAGTAATGGCAAAGCCCTCACACTCTACAGGTGAAGAAGTAGCAGGCTTAAAATGTGCAGATGATAAATTTGTTCTGGTTGTTACATTTAAGCTGTCTAAGAATAGATGAGCCAATGTGCAGTTAATGTATAGTTTTAAATCCTCAAAAAGAATTGTGGTCAACAAAATTTGGAATTAAGTTTCGTGTTTTGGAAACTTTTTATTGCTTTCCTTATGTCTTTGTTCCTTAATGTATAAATGATAGGATTCAAGACAGGAATGATAGCGAAGTCAACAATAAATAGATTTTTATCAACTGAGGGTGGGGGAGAAGGCCAGGCATACAGAATTATGCATGGAATAAAAAACAAAAAAACTACAGTGATGTGAGCTGACAAAGTAACAAATGCCTTGGATAAGTCACCTGAAGAATGTTTCTGGACTGTGAGGAAAATGTAAGCATAGGAAAGGAGAAGCAGGATGAAGGTGCCCATGCTCATAAAGCCACTGTTGGCAGTAACAATAAATTCATATTTAACGGCATCTATGCATGCAAGTTTTATGACCTTGGGCAAATCACAGTAAAAACTGTCTATTTTATTAGGTCCACAGAAAGGCAAGTTTATAACAAAACCAAATTGAAGCATAGAATGGATCACTCCAGTTACCCAGCCGCTGATTACAAATGAAATACATATTTTAGGACTCATGATTTTCAAGTAGTGAAGAGGCTTACAGATTGCCATACACCTATCAAATGCCATGGCTATGAGCAATACCATCTCCACTCCTCCCACGATGTGGATGAAACATATCTGTGTCATACAATTTTGGAAAGAAATGACATTGTATTCATTTGAAAGATCTATGACTATTTGGGGGATTGTAGTAGAAGAAAGGCACATATCAATGAGAGACAGGTTAGCTAGCAAGAAGTACATAGGGGACTGTAGGTGAGAATCAGTAATTATCAAAAACAAAATGAGAACATTTCCTAGAATGACACCTACATAAAGCAAAGAACAAAGAAGGATGAGAAAAAGATTTTTCTCTCTAGAGCAACTGAGAGGCAGTAACACAAGTTCAGTGACTACTGAATCATTTAGTCCACCCATTGATTGGGACAGGAGCATTTTCAAGTGACCTAAGGATAAAAATTAAAAGAAGTAATATTGGAGCAAATATAGATTCCCTATTTGTCTTGCTAATTATGTTAAATAAAAATAAGAGTAGAAATATGAACACTATAGCAGAAATAAGGTTAGCAATAAATTTATATATAGGGACAATCAAGGAAAAATATGACTACAAATTTTTCCAGTACAGCCAAAGGAAGTACTTATTTCTCATTTCATAATTAAAATATTTCTTCTCTAGAAGATTTATCGATCATCTTCTTTACCACTTCCTTAGGTGTTCTCTCACCTAATGCTACCTTTCCTATCATATCCCTGTTAATGGTTTCACACTACAGATGCCTCTTGACTTATGATGGAGTTATATCCAGATAAACAATTATAAGCTGAAAATATCACAAGTTGAAACATATTTAATATATATATATAAACTACTGAATACCATAGTTTAGCAACATAGTGCATGGCAGAGTATTACTTGCTTACCCTTGTGATTTTGTGGCTGAATGGGTGCTGTGACTTGCTGTTTCCACCTAGCAACTTGAGATAGTATCATATTACATATCATTAATCTAAGAAAGAATAAAATTCTAAATTTAAAGGATAATTTCTGCTAAACGAATATCACTGTTACATTATCAAAAAGTAAAAGAAGTCAAGACCATCTGAAATCACATACCCTCTTACCTGCAGCTACCTTAGCTCATTAATGTTTTCTCATTTCATTAAGCTTATAGAGGTCACCAGGTCAAGGATATTTGAACACATTCCATCATTTCCTATCTTGGGTTTTTAAGAATTTAAATGAAACTCAGATCCCTGGAACTTAAAATTTATAATACTTGGTTCACGACATAATATCACCTCAGGTATTTGGTAATTTTAAATTAATAAACTAATAAATGGACAATTAAAAAAATCAGAAGCCATATGTGGTGATGGTGCTTATAGTCCTAGCTACATGGAAGCCTGAGACAGGAGATTATCTTGAGCCTTCAGCATTACAACCAAACAGGGCAACATTATTGGACTCAAAAAAACAAAAGCAAAAGAAACTAAAACCCCCAAAACTTGGATATCTGAGAGTTAAGAATTGAAAATATAACTATGACAGTTAATCAAACATATCAATTAATATTTAATGATAATCACAGATAATATATCTCCTATACTGAGGGTATTGCATTAAGCACATTATCTCTTTTTAATTTCCTAACTTCTCCATAAGATAGGTTTGGTTATGTGAGCCATATTCTACAAATGAAGAAGCTGAGCCTCAGGAAAATGAAGCACCAGATGTGCTTGCTTTGGCAGCACATATAGTAGAAAAATAAAGCAGCAGAAGTAGGACTTGTATCTAGACCTGAAGAACTTCGGAATGTATGCTTCTAAACATGACATTGTGCTCTTCAAGTCAAAGTGTACTTTAGATCTCTCCTCATGGATCTCAGTGCATCATTTAATCTTCCTTGTTTGTCAGCTTTTCACTTTCCTTGATCTGTTGAACATAGAATACCCTTTTTCAAAAGTAAGCCTATTAGGGGTAGAGTTCCCAACTTCCTTTTATTTCCTCAAATCCTTACAATTAAGTTTATATTTACTCATATTTTCTATTTAGTTCCAAGCCAAAATAACCTAGCTTTGGCTACAGAAAATCATTTTAGAGGTTTTCAGGGATTTTGTCCAAGTATAAGACTATCACATGAAATAATCACCTTCATTCTTTATTTTAGTTACTTGCTTATTCTGCAAATTTGACACTATTGATCATGTCTTTGTTTTTGAAATTTCTGCTGTTGTTGGCTGCTGTATAAGTTGTCTATCCCAAATCCTTTTCCATTCCCATTTCCTAGTAACAGAACACCTATCTGTTTAGGTATTTGGTAGATATTGTTTCATTTGGAGAAAATAAGCCCTATTTTATCTTCAGGATGAACCATGTTAACATAATTTTATTTGGCCATGGATTTGTTTAAGACAGGTGTGTAATCTAGGTATTAATGAGCTATAGGATAACATTTACTGATAAGGGTTCCTTATCTACATTAGCCACAAAGTATCATTTACAGAAGGCACTTTTCATAGCCCATTTATTCTTGCATCAGTATAAAGTGGTGCCTTTAATGAGTAGAAATCATGAATTTTGAAAAACCTTAGTGTTAAAGATGATAGTGTGAAAAAATAGTAAAATGTCTCTAGGTTTCAAGTCTTCAACTGATGCCATCAAATATCTATTTTATGAGATCTGTGATTTGAGAAAAATAAACTCAATTTTTTAAGAGATTGTGAAAATGGCATTGTTAGTTGCACTTGCATTTCTAATATTTGTATAATAGCCCTCTCAAATTTTTACATACATTTCTGACTTCATTGCCTCTTTCACTGACTCATAGTTTATTTTTCTTGTACTAATCCTTTACTATTGATGTGACTCAGAAGTCTATCCAAAATATTTCTTTTTTTCATTCCAAATATGGTTCATTGTTTAACTACTCCCTGTATATTGAATATATCTATATTACTCTCTCTAATTCTGTAATCTAGCTTAATATATCCAGAAGTGTATGGAGGCACAATGGACATTTCCCAAGGATATGCAAAGTTCAAATGCCAAGTTCTGATCATAACTATTGAACCAGATGTCCACTTCAGATATTTTTGAGATATAATTGTCTTTTCTGAAACTTTACATTCCAGATGGTCAATTATACCTCCTTCATATTTCTCATGTTTGCTTTCTCCTGTCCATTTCCACTGTCAACTCTTCACTTGATGACTAAGAATCCTGAATGGTCTCTATCATAGCTAAAATCAGTCCATACTATACTGTTTCCAGATCTGGCTATCTATATTTCAATTAATTGGTCATACCCTATTCTGCCACCTCAGAATACAAACGAGTAAGCTCCTAAATGATGCTGGTGATATTTTTTTGGTGATGAGAAGTATAACTTACTTCACCTGATGCTATGAATATTTGAAATAATATAAGCAAAACTGCCTAGTATGTTTCCTCCTTTGTCTTTTTTCCTCTAGGACATCAAATATCACTTCCTCTGAAATACTCATTGAAGACCCCAAAGAGAGTAATAACATCTGATCTACTGTTATAATGTGTACTTTATTTGTAGTAACTAAAATCATTATAATTTTTACATGTTACTTTATTATTTTGACCATTATCTATTTATTTGAGGAAAATTGAACTTTACGTACTTAATACTTGGTACCATTTGACTTTGAGAACTGAACTGACTGCCCCCTCCTCACTGGTGAGTGAAGAAAACCAATCTGAGAGTCAGTGAATCTCTAGGTCTCTTTTCTCAGAGTGACCTCATTTACCCATATTCCCAGCTATGTTATATATCTGACAATATGAAACTAGAAAAAGGTTTTGCTTCAAACAAAATGTGTAGAGATACTGTAGAGATACTATAGGTGAACCCTCAAATTATAGTGTAGTATCATAAGCATTTTATGTAATATTGTATAGCAGGAAAATGTCAACAGCTGCTTGGAATGATGCAGTAATTAAAAAGATCAGTACAATTCTCATAATCATAGCCCCTAAGAAAAGTGATTTTTCTATGTAAATAAGAGAATTTTTGATGCAATTGAATTTATGGCATGTTTATCTGATGAAATTAAATAAATATATAAAACATCAAATAAAATAACGTGAATGTTTATGTTCACTATTTAACTAAGTTAAAAAGATTATAAATACTATTAGTATAAAGCAAGTACGTACATGAAAATATTTAGATTATATCACAATGTCTCTAGGTTGTGAGACTTCTTGGTGATTTTAGATTTTTCTAACTATTAACTTATTTTCTACACATTACAGGTAATATTTACAGATCTTTATAAATTTTTAGTGAAAATTTGAATTTTTAGGGAAAATAGGAAAAGATGATATAAGTAATTTCATGAATATCAATATAATGTGACTAAGAGCACAGATTCTAGGGCTAGACTACCTGGGTTCAACTCTCCATCTCCTTGGTTTATGAGCTATATGTCCTTGGGTGAGTTGCTTCACTTCTCTGTACCTCAATTTCCTCATCTGTAAAATAGGGATAATAACAATATTTATCTCATAGTATTGTTTTCATAATTAATTGAGTTAATGTATGGAAAACATCAAACCATGCCCTGGCACAGAATCAGTACTCAAGTATTTTAAAAATGATTAGTATTGTTTTTAAGACTCATTGCTTCAATTCTGTTCAGATATAGAAAGAGCTTGTTTTGCCAAATCATGCTTATTTAGAATGAAATACCCAAGACTTAAATATGACTTATTATTGTCATTCTAATTTCAAAGAGAAAAAGTATGGAAAAAGAAAGACTCTCCACTTATCAAAGAAACAAAATAATATATCTGAAGAGAATTAATTACAATAACATTGAAATTATGAAAAATGAAGTCAGAAGGATATATGTAAAACTATATGAGTGAGACTCATTTAAACAAAGAGGCACTAGCAAAAGAGAACTGGAGATAGACAAAAGAAAAGAGATTTAGAAATGAAAAGAATAAAAGTAACAAGGAGCCATGGAACCAGTTGTCAATGAGGTGAACACAAACAAATTTCCTATGTACCTCCTAGGCACAGGATTCACTCAGTTGCAACTTCAGAGGACACGGGGAAAGTTAACACCATTATTCAATCACTACTGTTTCTTAAGAGAAAGAATTATAAATAGCTCAGACCATTAAGAAGGAATGCAATTACCAAGGCTAGGTGGTAAGACTGAAATGGCCATAATTGTTTCCAGTAGAAACCAGGCCTTCTGTGCACACAATTTTCCCAAAGGTAAATCATCACACTTTGTAGAAAATGTTATAAGGAAGTTAACAATTTAGTGTGATGATCAATGAATTTGTGATAATTTTCAAGTTACAGGAAAATTTGGGCTTATAGTTCAGATGTTAATTTAGATATTTAAAGTTATCAGAACCCTTCATTTTCTTATTTTATGCATATTTTTGAGGAATAATGAACTGATATTTGAACAAATCATAGAAGCTACAAAAGTAGACCAAAATTAGACTGGGAAAATTTTATTTGATATTTTTTCACAGCTTTATGCAGTTTTAATTTAAGCACTACAAAAATTCATAGATTTTAAGTGTACAATTCAATTATTTTTTAGGAAATTTATAAAGCTGGTAACCACTGTCACAGTTGAATTTTAGAACAATGCTGTAGTTAATTTTCACCTCCACTCCCAGACTTGGACAACAAGTAATTAATTTCTTGCCTCTACATATATCCTTTATCTGGATATTTCATATACATAAAATCATACAGTATGTAGTTTTCAGTGACTGGCTTCTTTAATTTGTCCTTTTTTACTTTTAAAATAACAGCTTTATTGAGATATAACTCAAGTCACAAGATTCACCCTTCAAAAAGACAACTTAATTATCACATTGGCAAAGCCAGTTCTCAGTTTTGAGAATAGTGTTTCTTTTTCCAGTACTGAGAATCAACCAAGGGCCTTGCATATGCTAGGTAAGCCCTTCACCACTGAGCTACCTATTCAGCCGTGAAAATAGTTTTATATTTATGCATTTACCTAATTCCCTTTTTTTTAGCTGAAGGAGAAGATAACATAGTGTGATTTCAGAATCAATCTGCCAGGGAAGGAACACCATTTAATCTTCTAACCAATCATATATTTTTAAATCTCTCTATGCTTTAATTTTCTGCTGAGAAAATGAGAATGTAGGTGTCAATACAATGTATGTAAAGTGTTTAGAAATTTTAATATACTATTTTTCACATTCATCTATGTTGTAGCATATATCTGTAACTTTTTATTGCTGAAGAATCTCTCCTTATGTGCACTGATCAGATTATGGTAATTGACAGTTTTCCATCCTTATCATTGTACCTTTGGAAACTTTCAGCCATCTCTTCTGGTTGTCCACGAAATATATAATAAGTTATTGTGAACTATAACAATCGTTCTGTGCTAAAGAACATCAGAACTTTTTCCTTTTACCTGACTGAGTTTAATATCCAACATCTCCTAGCCCAAACTCTAGCCTGTAGAGGGCATAACATTGGGTTAAAACAAACTATCCCATACTTTTCTACTGTAAATTTTTGTTTTAGCATCATAGTAGCTGGCTGTGCATCTCAGTAGCTACACCTGGGGGATACAGGAAGCAATCTTTGTGTTTACCCACTTGGTACAAGTACCTGATCAGTGCATGTTGTATGCACAAATTGAAAAATCACACAGTATTTCATTATTTGTATAATTATTACATTTCCAATGTGAAATCTCGAATAAAAGTTTTTTAGATTCAGGTTATCTACTTTATAGCAAAGAAATTGCACAAAAGAACAAGAAACTACAGAATCCACTGATTTCACATGTACTATAACAACTGAGAGCTGTCAATTTGATGGAACACTGGAACAGTCTTTCAAAATTCCAACCGAGATAAGAATATACAGACAGACCATGCAATGCCGGGATCTGTCTAGGCTTCAAGAGATATGCTTTGAGTCAGTGGTCTTTAGGTGGTCCTCTGCACCCTAGGCATAAAATATGCACTCTTTGAAACCAAAGGATACAGAAATAAGTAGCATTTGTTTTTACCACAGTTATCAGTGACATTAAATAGTTTCTCTTTTCTGTTTCTAAAATTTTATCATCTTCTAGAATCTGTAGAATCTGTTTTGGAAGACACAATATGGATTCCAATAAGTCAAAAAATTTTAACTGCTTTCTTATCATTTGAGTTTCCTTAGGTTAGAGGACTAGCAGGTAGAAAAATGAATAACTTGACTTTTTTATTACATTAATTTTTATTTTATTGATACATTTTATTTTTATTTATTTGAGTTTTAAAAAAATAATTTCTTGGTACGATTTAAATATAAATAGAGATTATGTTCATCAAAGGGAATTTGTACATGTACATGATATATCTTGATTTCTCTTTTTCTCCCAATTCTCCCCTCTCTCTTCACCCCCCCTTATTTACAAAAGCCTTCTTTCCATTTTTTTCTTTTCTCATTTTTTTTCCTTTTCCCTTTCTTTTCTCCTTCCTCCTTTCACAGTTTCTCTTTCTGTTTGAACAGTTCTTTCCTATTTTATATTAAATAGATACAATTTAAGACAATAATCTTAAGTGAAATAACTTGGACACATGTAAATATTTCATTGTCTCTTTGGTGTGAGTGAGAACTAAAAGAGTAAATAAGACCCCAAAATGATATATTTTAGATATACTCAATGGTAACTTTCATCATAAGGAATTTGTACCTGTACATGATATATTTTGCTTCATCTTTTTTTATCCCATTCCCCTCCCCTTGTTCAATCCCCTTCCCCTCCTTCCTTACAAAAGCTGTTTCCATTTTTCCTTCTATTCGCTTTTTTGTCATCCTTTCCTTCACATCATTTTAATCTAATATTTAATAAAGATAAAGATGCTGTTTCACAATGGGCAATGAAGTGAAGAGTTCTCTAACTAGGAATCCACCAAGGTATCACTACCCGGTGGTTTCATGATTGATGGAAACTATAAAAGGATAACTGTAGCAACAATATATTTAGCAAGAACATTCTAACCAGAAGCTCAAACTGCTCATAAGTGAAGTGGGTTATCTCATGTATCAAGCAACCTAAATCAGCAGAATACTAGGTGGAGATGTGGGGGCTTTAGAATGGGAAGTAGAGGAAAGAATGATGACTGTCAGGAGGGAAAATGCTAGCATATGTCACTTCTCTACAATTTTACATGTGTGTGTGAAATTGTGAACAGATATAACTTTAAAGAACTTTTACAGGTTAAAGTGAAATTAAGTAGGGGCCCAGTGTTTTAAAAGTGAATATGATGGGCATATACTGTCTGCAAACAAGGAAATGATTCTTTACGCCACCACCCGACAGCCTACCTGTCAGTTCATCTCTGGCTTTCTCACATGAAGTGTTCTGGGTGTGACAATTTGGATATGGCAAAGAGTGTCTTCACTCCCTAAAAATGAAAAATGTCCCATGTACCTTATTCCTCAATTGGAACAATTCTCATTCACAAGGTAAAGAGGGACTTGAGGGAGTACAGAAGGTTTGCATCCTACTTATGTTTATCAACATAAGAAGCTTTTACTTCTTGGTATCACTTCCCCACCCCCTACTGATGTTTTCCAATATCATTTTCCAAATACACTTTTTATAATCAAATTATGTCTTAGGTCTTTTTTGGCGGAAAGCTATGCTAAGTACGTAAATAAGGTTTCCAGTCCTATATACCCAACACTTTGATGTAATGCTTTCTGATAATTTACCAAAAACAAATGTGCATTTATTTGTGAAGCTTTTAGGAAACAGAAAAAATGCAATTATGTTCTTTCTTATGTCAAAATGATCATGGTTTAAATTGTGAGATGTTATTTATGAGTGCTATTTATACATAATCATATCACAATAGAATCATAACTCATCATAGTGAAAGCAATAAGTAAATGCTTTATAGAAGTAATAGAAATTTATCAAATGAGGTAGAGGTTTTGTCCATTTTGTCCTAAATACCAGTCATAGGTTTAAGTGGAGGTACTCAACAGTCAAGCAGATTGACCATTTGAGAGCTTCAGGGACAGATCTGGCTAGCATAATTTGACATAATATATTTTCTTGCTCAATCTTTTTATGGCTATTTTCATATCTTTGTTTCTTAGTGTATAGATGACAGGATTCAAGACAGGGGTAATAGCAAAGTCAACAATGAACAGGTATTTGTCAATTGGTGATGTGGGGAAAGGCCACACATACAGAAATATGCATGGTGTGAAAAAAAGAACAACCACAGTGATGTGAGCTGACAAAGTGACAAGTGCCTTGGATAAGTCCCCTAAAGAATGTTTCCAGACTGTGATCAAAATGAAGACATAGGAAAGAAGAAGCAAGAAGAAAGTGCCCATTGTCATGAAGCCACTGTTGGCAGCAACAATAAACTCAAATTTGATTCCATCTGTGCATGCAAGTTGTATAATCCTGGGAAAATCACAGTAAAAGCTGTCTATTTTATTAGGACCACAAAAAGGCAGGTTTATAACAAAAGAAAATTGAGACATAGCATGGACCACTCCTACTACCCAGCCAAGGACTACAAATGAAGCACACATTTTAGGGCTCATAATGTTCAAGTAGCGAAGAGGCTTACAGATTGCAATGTACCTGTCAAATGCCATGGCTATGAGCAGCACCATCTCCACTCCTCCCATGATGTGGATGAAGCATATCTGTGTCATACATCCTTGGAAAGAAATTATATTGTGTTCACTTAAGATATCTAAAATCATTTTGGGAAGTGTGGTAGTAGAAAGGCCCACATCAATGAAGGACAGGTTAGCCAGCAGGAAGTACATAGGGGACTGTAAATGTGAATCAGTAATAATCAAGAAGACTATAAAGAGATTTCCCAAGATGATCCCTACATAGAGCAAAGAGAATGTGAACATGAGAAAAATTGTAGTTTCCCAAGAACTAGAGAGTCCCAGCAACACAAACTCAGAAATCATGGATCCATTTTGTCTATCCATTGACTTAAGCAGAAGAGATGATTTCAAACCATCTGTGGATAGAAAGTGGCAGAAAGTCATAGTAAATGATACTAAAGTTATATATTCAGCATTTATCCTACTAGTGTATTCTGTGGGTTACATATCAGAGAATTAGAAATCATTGAATTGGATTAAAACAACAACAAAAACAACAACACCAACAGTAATAAAAGTATTGTTGTGCTGGGGAGATCATATAAAAAGGAAAGAAAATTAGGATTTAATGGACTCAAATGTATTAGTTTTTTTACATTCCATGAGCAGAATTTTTGTTTTGTTTGCTTCTCAAGGATTTTGAGACATGTTTCCTGATCACTTTCCCAAGTATTCTCTTATTCTAATGATCTCAGGTGACAATGATTGATAATGATATTTGTTTTTTTATAGTAATGCTTTTGCACTATCTGGAAAATTATCTAGCTGAGTTTTTTGTTCACTGTTCAAACCAATATTCTCAAGCCAAAATCATTTAGTGTTTCTTTTTTCTTTTGAATAAATTACTAGATGAAATGATGGAAGTTATTTATAATGTTTTTTGATACAGTAGTACCTCCGATCATGAACTTAATTCTTTGGATGATTCTGGTCACAAACTGAATTGAATGAGAACTAAATAAGATTTCTTCAAGAGGTCAACAATGAACCATTGAATCTAACTATTGAATCTGATTTGGTTCTTGTCCAACTCAGTTTGTGAACAGAATTGTGGAAAGTATCAAGTTTGTGAACTGAGATACCACTGTAATTGCCACTGAATGCAATCTGAGTATTTCTGATAGTTTTCTCCTAATTCAATTTCTGGCTTTTATGATTCTTTGTTTCCTGGTCACTCTTACTAATTGGTATGCCAAAGATTTCTGACTCAAATACTATTTTTCCAATTCAGTGCCCGTTTACTTAGTTAAGCTAGTACTGTTCTTACATAGTAAAGTCTCAGTCTGTGACTTTATTTTTTTTTTTTTTTTTTTTTTTTTTTGCTTTAATTCTTTTATTGGTACATTTTAGGTATACAATACGTTTACATTTATCATTGGGTGCTTGTACTTGTACATGATGTATATTGGTTCTTATTTTTTCCCCATTATCTGTGCGCCCTTCACCCCTCCACCCTTCCCTATTTACACACTTCGTTTCCATTTTTTTTCTTTTCTCATAATTTTTCCTTTCCCTTCTTCCCTTTCCCCATCTCCTCCCACCACCCCTACCCCTTGGGACCTTTTCCTATTTCAAAGTATCAATTATTAGTTATCAGTCCTTTTAATCTTTATTTATACTCTCAGTTTCTCGCTAAATGGATGCATATTGAGGTCATACTCTTAAGTGAAATAAATAAGACACACGTGTAAATACCAAATAGTTTATTCTTGAATCCAGAGTTATAAGCCCAGAATTGTATGTGGCATAAACCAATGAGAGAAGTCACACCTCACCTGCAAGTTCACTGGTTATAGCTGAGCTTATGATCTTATTTTCTGTCTAGTCAAGTCCAATCTAGTTGATCAATTCTAGTATAATTTATTGCAATGTCTTAGTAAATTTCATTATAATTCTTCTGTATACCCCGGGCTCTCTTGCCCCTCCTTTATTTTTCAATTTCAGTGGCACAATTTTTACCCCCCCTAAAAATTTTTTTTCTTTGGTACCTGGGATAGAACTCAGGGACTTGCCCATGCTAGGTAAACATACTAATGCTGAGCTGCATGCTAGCTCTTCAAGTAGCTCTTAAATCAATTCCTTCCTCTATTTATACCATCATTTTATTTTTTGCTTTCATTTTCCACATTTTGTCATCTTGACAACTAATGGCTAGTGAATCATCTTTGATCCTTTCTACCCCAAGTCCAGACCTTCCTACATTCTACTTCCAGATATAACTACCTGATGATCAAATATGCTCAAATGATGACACATAACTCCTTTGGTAGATTGATGAAGGAAAAATTCTTAAAGTTCCACATCAGATCACATAAAATTCAGACAGAAGGCAGCAAAATTTGATTTTGTGGTACTTCCATAACGATTTTAGGGAATGAATATACTATGCAATTACTGCTTAAATTTCAAAAATTGACTTCTGATGAAAAATCTTAGTAAAACAGGAAGTATCAAGAAATATTTAACTCAGGATGCTTTTAAAAAATCAATTGATTATATGTGAAACATTAAAATTAAAACATGAATAAGGAAACCTCTTAGTACTATGTATGGCTTAACAATGTGTTTTAAAGTAGACAAGATGAATTCAAGTAATATTATTAAAGGCAGGGTAATGAAATTATAATCACTGGTTGTCAAATCACATAATTGGCTGCCTCAAACATATAAAACAATTGAATGGGAAACATTAAATCAAATAAGAAAACTTAAATAAATATAAAAAACTAATAATGTTTCTACTTTCAAGTTAACTGAAAATTTAAAAAGAGATGTCATGTATAAAGGAAACCTGTGCAAGGTATACATTCTATTGAGAAATATGTACATTTTTCTAATATATTTGAAACTCTGAATAAAATGAGAGCCCAAACCATGCTAATAGAAAAGAAAGACTTGAAGTTATAAAAATACCAATTCTCATTGAACTTGTCCATGGATTAACTGCAGTTACCTATCAATAGAACAGTAGAAATCAGTTGAAATAATACAAAATAAACCAAAGTCAATTTCAAAACTCAAGGAAATTTGAAAGAAAAACATAATGAGAGTTAGGGTTGAGAAGTGAGTATTTTCTATAAAATGAATCAGAATGTATTATAAATCTATAGTTATTAAACAATTTGACTAGTTTAACAGAATATGGGACAAAAATAGTCTGGAATTAAATATTAGGAATTGTGGTATTTGGCAAATAAGGCCTTATGAATTTGTAGGAAAATAAAGAATTGTTTAAATAGGCACAGTACTTAATAGTTAAACTTGTATATCATCATTGAGAACATGTGTGTTACTGTATGCCTTATGGCAGAATAAGATGTGGATATTTAGAAGATTTTTTATGTTAAAATGTAATTACTATTTTCTAACAAAGTGTGAGAACTAATTCTTAAAACTGGACTTTAAAGTTTTCTAAGTCGACGCCACCTTCAAAAGCTAGATTCTATTTTATCTGATTTCCCGAATGGAAGTGTTAAACCGGTTATTTTTTTGAGAGAGGGGAGGCAATCTCAGGTGATGAAATATCAAGTGTACATTCACTCTAAAAGGCATTGAAGTAATAGATATAAAACTCCTTAACTGTGACACAGCAATTCTATGTCATGGAACTATATCAAAGGGAAATATATAGACAAATAGAAAAAGGCATAAAATTATTTTACCTTATGACTATTACTTATAATACTAAGTGGAAACATGTTAAATATTCAAAGAGAAGGACTGATTAGGCCAGTAAATGGATAAATTCATGTAATGTAGGTTTTACAAATAATTGTTAAGTCCATATTAGTTAGTAAGAAGAGTATCAGTGAATCAAAGGAACAGTTATAAAATATAAATCGCTTTATTTTGAACTATAAAAATATTTTACAGAAGTAAATATTCATGATTTACTAAAATATTTTATACCACCTGATGGAATTTAAGTAACTTTATGCCTGTTTATTTCCCCAAATTTGATTTATTCTATATTTAGAGATAATATTTATTGGTTTTCTAGTTAAAAATCATGATGTATCAAAATCAATGTGGGAAAAAAGAAAACTTATAGGACTAATATCCAATGTAAAATATAACACACTATTATAGAATAAAGTAAGTATTAAAAAGTGCTACCCATCACAATGTTGATGACATTCAGGAAAGAGACCTAGAGGTTTTCAGATTAGGAATACTGAACTATTCTGGCAAAAATCAAGCTAGTCTGCTTTTTGATATTTTATCAGTGAAAATGGGCTAAACAAGATACCGACACTGATTTTCATTTTTAGGATCCTAATCTTCAGAGAAAAAGGAAATGAAAGAATCAAAACACTTTACATACCACTTAAAAATATTAATGCTTTGAAGAACATTTTGAGTTCATCTCATAACACAATTTTAATTCTAGGAATAAGACCAGAAAAATATATAACAACTTGAGTGAGATCACTCAATTAAGTGCACTATTAAAAGTGAATGAAGACCAAAGGAAAAGTAGATTGTAGTGAGTAAAAAAGGGTATGGGACTGTACCAGTAGAACCAGAAGTTGGAAAATTAAAGAGTGAACATTGCACCTACCTGTACAGGCACACATTTTACCCTCAGTGCTTCAAGAGGGGAGAAACACAGAATTACTCCACTTTAGATTCATCATTACATATCAAGATACAGAGTTATAAATAGTTCTTATTTGTATGAATGAAACCAATTAAGAGGGCTAGGAATAATGACCAATATCAACTCTATTACTACCAGGCCGGGGATTTAGCTTGGTGGGTCTGCCGCCTGCCTTGCAAATGCAAGGTCCTGAGTTTGATCCCCGGTACCAAAAACAAAACAAAACAAAACAACTCTATTACTACCTTTCTATAGAAACTAAGTCTTCCATACACAGTGTTTCCCAAGGGTTCAGTATCATCAAATGACAAATAGAGTAATAGGGACTCAGAGCTATTTCATGTAGTGAACAGTAATTATGTGACTCTGATAATATTTTCTTTAATTTAAGATTAGATGAATCATTGAGAGTTATCAAAATCACTAATTACATCGTTTTGAAGTCAATATTGAGTTAAAGAACATCTATTACAAAATAATAAATTGCTCATTCCATTTGTTTTTTCTAAATAATGAATTAGTATTTGAGAACTATAGGAGTGTTGAGAATAGAGAGAAATTAAACTAAAAATTTCACTTGTATTTTAATATTTCAAATTATTCTCTCTAGAATTTTTGTTTTGGTTGTTTAATTTTGGTTTAAAGAAACAGGTTGGCTCATGAATTAAATATATTAAATAGGGTTTTCATTCTTACTAAGTATCAGTTACTTGCCTTGGGCTTC